AATCCATTACTAAATATAATTATGTAGTTTCTCATCTTCCTCCAGATATAGCATCACTAGTACGGGAGTTACTTATGAAACCAGACCTATTGATCCATATGCAAAGCTTAAAACTGAGTTAATAAATTGTTCAGGAGAATCTTCTCAGCAAGAAATTCGCCATTATTATCTGGAGAAGGAATTATGTTCTCGAAAACCTATCGATTTGCTTAGAAATATGAAACGTCGAAGCAGAATCTTTAAATGTTCCAGATAACTTAATGTTAGAATTATTCCTTCAACGTTTGCCTTCGACTGTTCAGTCTATTTTTGCAGCGGTTTCCAATTTAACTGTAGATAAAGGTGCAGAAATTGCCGACAGAATTTTAGAAGTAAATCCAACCCCAGGGAACTTGTGCCGTTTCTCGCACAGTCGATCAGTCTCTGAGGATAAATTATTAAACAAATAGAAATTAAACAAATGTATTGATCGCATTTCTCTTTCTCGTGGTCGCTCGCCAAATCGCGGAGATCACAATAAGGAAAGAAGCAATTCCAAAAGGAGAGATTATTCTGTTTGCTGGTATCATAGACGTTTTGGGAAAAAGTGTAGAGATGACAAATGTACAAAACCTTGTTCATGTAAAAAATACCCGACAGCACGGATACTCTGAGATAATTTCATAACCTATGTCGTTCCTTTGAATAGCCATTAAAGGAACTGGGGGGGAAACTCTGTGGTGATGGCGATAAGGAATGCGTGCCTTGCCGCCCTCCGATAAATGTGGCAACCCTAGAGGAGAAGCTTCTTACGAGTAGCGAGCAGAGCGAAACAGGCAGGCTGTCGGGGAGTATGCGCGATGTTCCTAAATAAAGTTTAATTTTTATTGTGCACTATGGTCTTGTTAATATTTATATTAATGCAGTAAGAACATAATCTGTGATATGGAACTCGAGGATTGGTGGTAAAACATAACAGGAAATTACCATAGCACACAGATTGAGGAATGCCGTCTGTTGTATGGCGTAGCATGTGTGTGTTTGCATGCATGCACTAGTAAAGGGAGATAAAAATATTTGCTTGAATCAGAAGCACTGCATTAATTTGCTTTGTGTTGCTGCACTTTTGGCTTTGTGACTATAAATTGTTTTATCAGTAATCTGTTTATTTTTCTTTTCAAGACCATTAAGAATTTTCTTGTTTTGAATATTTCACTTTTTTTAATATTATTTTGAAAGAAAAACCAACATAGAATTTTTTTCATTTTTTTTCCATGTGGTTTTGATAGTTACTTGCCATGATGAATGGATTGAAAATGAAAAGAAAGGCAGCGGACGATAACAGGAAATTTTCAGAAGCTTGTACTTCAAAATACTATTTTATGGCTCAAGATAATAGAACTATATGCTGGATATGTAAGTTTAGGATTAGTGTTTGCAAGGGCTGTAATATTAAGCAACATTACGACATGAAACACTCAACATTTTCAAAGTTTGAGAATCATAAAATCCAGTCTCTTTGCCCTTCTCTTGTCGCACAAAGGAATGTATTTACAAAGGCATCTTCACAATTAGATAACTAGATTATTTGGGAATTGCAGCCTTTATTGCTAAACCTATTTACTAATGGTGATTTTGTAAAGAAAGGCATTTGAGAAAGTATGCCCTGATGATAGGAAAAAATTTTAAAATTAGAGTCTCAAAATGACAAAAAATGTCAGCAAAATAACAATACAAAGAACTGAATACTATATATCTGATGATATTAATGAACAATAGCAGATTGCTAGTACCATATTCAAGTACATTTCTCTAGCAGCTGATGAGTCAACACACATTACTTCAACAGCTCGACTGCTTTTATTTATTATAGAAATTTCTGAAAATTTTGAAACTGAAGAACTTGTTAGAATGAGTTCAATGAAGGGCGAACACCCCTTCATTAAACTCATTCCAACAAGTTGAATTGAACTCATTCAAACAACTCAGTCTTTTAAATTTGTGTTCTGCACATAATTTTAATACTGATGAACTTGTTAATATCACTACTTATGGAGCTGCAGCCATAACTGGAATTCAGAATGACAGGTGAGTCTACTGAGAAACCATTTGGATGATCGAGGCAAATATTTGCTTGAGAATCGCTGTATCATACATCAAGAACAGCTGTGTGCAAAAGAACTAGGATTTGACCGCCTAATGAAGGTAGTGAGCGATACAATCAATTTTATTCGATCACAATGGTTTAAACCACAGGCAATTTAAGGAAATCCTAGAACACACAGATGAACCACATAGTAATCTCACACATTACTCTGAAGTACAGGCTTTGAAAAGGTTTGCTGATTTGACTGATGAAATAATACCTCTCTTTTAAGAAAAGGGCAAGCAAACTAGGATGTTAAAACAACCATCCTTCAAGTGTGACTTAAGCATTTTTAGTTGAAATGACAGCCTACCTGACTGACTTAAACAAAAGACTGATGGAAAAAACCATTAGGTGTGTAGGGATTTATATTTATTTTGACTAACCAGTTAAGTTTACGCTTTCTTTCCTATAGGCCTTCTTTTCCCTAATTGTTAATCCAGAATATGTAAATTTGGTAGCACGGCTGAAAGAATACAATTTCTACCAGTAGGAGAAAAAGGTTTAAATTCTGAGCTCTAGAAGGGAAAGTTACAGAGAGTGGGGAAGTACTGTACCTCTGTGGTGTGAGATTCTGATTCTGTATTTATTGAGGGTTAAAGTGGCATAACTGCTATTATTTTGCTGCAACTAGACTTCAATGCGGTTTTAGGTAACAGGATTATATGAGCCCTGGGAAAAATTCCTGGAAAAATGCCCTGGGAAATGTTAATATATTTTGAATTTTAAGTTTAGTTCTTGTTAGTTGAGTTACCGCCCAAGCAAGACATAGTTTGTTAGTGTCAAGTCGATGCACTGTGAATTTTAAAGAATCTAATAAAGGGTTCTTTTCACCCTTTTCCTGTCTGGCTCTGCACTTACTTCAGCAGTCACACTGAATGTTTAGCAACTAGATACTACAAGTTTATTTGAAAAGAAGTTATTAAAATGCAGTTTGACAGTCTCCAACGAAATGAATTCCAGGCCATAAGTGACCTGAAAACATGAGAGAGGTCTAGTGAATATGACAGGATGATACAAATCATCCTAGCCATACTCACATTCAGTGAAATAATGGGCTCGGCATTTTCATCTTTAACATTCAGTGAAATAATGGGCTCGGCATTTTCATCACAAAAGACAACATTTGGGGGGTTAATTATTTGAATCAGTGCCAATAATTTACATTATCCAGTTCCTTTGTAGTCCCACCATACACAATGTTTATGTTTGAGGATGCAGCCCCCTTTCCAGTTGCTAATAAAGGAGGATTTTTGGCTTAGCCTGTGATCTTTTCCTCGTAACATTATTATACAGTATCCACTTCTCATCTCCAGTACAAAGCAGTTTCAAAAAAAGAAGCCTCTATTTTTTTGACAAAGAATCATGCCAAAACTCAAGCAAACATATTCTACTCAAAGTTTGTGAAACATAACAGCAGCTTACATACTCAGTCTTCTTCAAATGATCATGCACAGTACCTTTTGGGATATTCAATCTCTCTGGTACCTCCTGAACTGCATAACGTGGATTTTTAGCTACAGCTTCTTTTAATAAGCCCTTTTTTTACAGAAAATAATTATTTAATGCATTTTTAAATAAAAGAATATAATATGATGAAAATGAACTTTTATGCTCTCCATTCTTAACACAACATTGAAACAAAAATTATGCCACAACACATGGTAAAATTATACAATGTGAACACAAAAGACCATATTTAAACATCTGCTTTGATCAAAGTTATTCCTTATCAGCAGTAACAAAATAAGAAAAAATGTGCTTTCATTTGAACACACTTAAAAAATGTGCCTACTTGCTAGCTAAGTTATATATATCTCATCTCAACTTTGAGGAAATCAGTGGACTATGAAACAATTAAAATATGCAAAATATCAAAGAAATTAATATTAAATCTGGATATTTTAACTAAAATTATTACTTAATTGCCTGCTCTTAATCAACTTATCGTAATGTAACATTAGGCTTAGATCATAAAATTAATTTATATTTCTCTACCCCAATATATTTGGCTGAAAAAGTCCCACTATCCCTTAATTTCATTCAGTGCTTACTATTTGAATCCGCACTGTCAATTCCAAAATCTCCGGCTCTTTCTTCACTCTTTGCTACTTTTTACCAATAATGTTCTTATCTTCTGCCAAATGGCCAGCAGCAGACAGATCCAATGGCTTCAAATTTCAATTAGTACATTTCATATAGGGTTATATCACCTAAACTTTCTCATGCTGTGAAAAGCTATATTATCATTCAACTCTGACTAATGATTTGATGAAGATGCATAGAATAATTTCTTGTGCATAACTATTTTTCTTCAAATATTCATAAACCATCTGAAAATCACCATTATATTACCCTGGGGCAGTGCAACAGCCCGTTTCATGTTAACTGCATTCACCTGAGCTGACAGGTTACTGAACACTGTGTGCTACCAGATTTTTCTATAGTCATTCATGGTTTTTGTGCATCTTGAAAGGAGTGGTTTATTAGAACAAAACAATGAGTTATCTTTCTATGACATAAATATGGTATAAGGAATATTTTAGTTCTAATCTGTCTAAAATTCTTCATGATCTTCAACCTGAACAGTTTTATGATTCTTCTGAATAAAATAATATTCATCTATCCAGCATTGACAACTATACTTTATGAATAATACCAGAAAAGTTTGGTTGTATCAGCAGCCCACCAATACTTGATGAAATCAGTGCCTTGGTTAGGCTGCCATTTGTGCTAAAAAATGACTAACCTTTTATTAAGGAGATACTTTTAATAGTATATTGATCATTGGACTAAATTATATTTTCTTCCAAAATAGTATTATCGGTACAAGCATTACATACTAAAATAATAAATATTATATGGATTTACATACCCTTTAAACAAGTCGGGGCAGCATTACTTACGCTATCAAGCAACATAATATCATTATTAGATATCACAAGAGCCAGCTTGACTTGTTCATGGCTAAAAATATTTATGATGATTTTAGATAAAGCTTAAAAAAAATGTACAATGAAATGAAATTTTAAAAAAATGTACATATCAGGAAACATATTTCAAAATATAATATCTTCTAGCTTTTCTCATGGGAGTTCATAGATCTTTTCCATTACAGAAGGACATACAACAAATTTCTATCAAAGAGATATATGGGGCAACTTCTGAAACAGCCAAAGTATATTTTTTGCCTACTGGTTATCTTTAAATTATATCAACATCCTTTTTTTTTTCTTTCCCCTCCCCCAAAATAATTACAATCAAAAGTCGTTAATCCGGACTCGTCGGGACTTCGGCGATTCCGGATTATCGATTTTTTCGGATTATAGATCATCAGTTTAAATCTGGTAAGATGACATGCAGAAATTATAAAATTAAAAATATGAAACCTTAATTTATGAAATAAAAAACAATTATGATCTAAAGGGTGTCAAAATTTACAAAAAAAAAAAAAAAGGCTTAATATTTATTTGTTTACTTTATTAAACATTTCTTTCAATGTAAGTTGTTTAAGTTGCTTTGTTTTATGTGATAATACTTTCTCTTTAATTCTATAAAACAGACATAATTTCTTGTTCAGTTACAAAGTTCCGCTGTTCAAGTCCTATAATTGCTGTGTCGAGAATACCGACTAATTTGTCAATTGAAATTTTTTCGTTTTCAATAACCTCTGTGTCACTTTCTTCACTATAGGAAGCGAATTATAATGACGAGGAATTTGATTTAAATCATATCAAAGGCGGAGTACATCAAGATGAAATACTACATATAGTAAGGAATTATAAGCGAAATAAAATAAAAACATCTGCCCTGAAGATAAGGATAGTGCTGACAGATCAACTTCCAATTTATTGCACGTCGCGGCGTTGAAAACATCTGCCCTGAAGATACGGATAGTGCTGACCGATCAACTTCCAATTGATTGCGTGCCACCCCCCATCCCCCACCGCAAAGCAGCGTGAAATTGATAAACAGATTTCGGAATGGAGGAAACAAAGGATATGCCTTTATCCATTTTTTGCAGCAATTCCACTTTTTGTTTAATGGACTTCGAAACATACTTTCCCTTTTTAGATCCTTTACATATTAGTAAATATATATCGAAAATTCTATTTGACATAATCGAAAGTTCAAGCTTACTTTCATAAAATTGCTTTAACAGTCTGCAAAAAATAATAAGCCGGATCCAATTCGAAGATTAAGGAACAACGCAATCTGCAACATTAACTGAATTAGATAATTTTAGCTTAGCTTATACCGTCCATTATACATAAAATGCACATGCGTAAACTTATTATGTGCATGTGCACACGCATATGCACAGCCGTAAAGGTCTTACGCGCATGCGTCAACACGACGCAGGTGCAGAAAGTTTGTAGCTTTGAGGTCCGGATTATAGATCATTGCGGATTATGGGTGTCCGAATTAACGACATTTTGACTGTTTAACCAGTAAAAGATTTCTGAAGTGTATTATTATATATCAGACACATATTTCTTTGGGTAACCATTTACTATGCTATGTAATGCTTTAACTTAGCTAGCTTTTTTAGATGGCAGAGCTGAAGTTGGTTGTTGTTTTACCCGTTTCATTTTCCCACCATTTTATCACATTTGGACCAGTGGCACCTTCTAAGAAATAAATAATTAAAAGTAACATATTGCATGATACATGTTCACCTTTCTCTGTTTATTAAAATAAAAAACTTTAAAATACATATTTCTTATGATTTAAAAAAAATTAATTTTCTAGCATGTTACCTTAAAACAGAAAAGATCCAAATTTATTAGCACAACATCAAAATAACTGTTTTTTAAAATGAATATTTATATATAAGTTTTTGCAAAGAATTTTTGTGATTATTTTTAGAAGTATACTATCTTTTGTCTATTTTTGCTAAAACAACTCATGGAAAATTGTAATTTTAGCTTCAAAATATTATATGTAAGTTAATTGATTGACTTTTAAAGACAAATAATGAAAGCAATTAAATACATATTATGCATATACATATTTATTAATTTCTCAGTTAAATTAAAGTATTTTTAAAAGCAAATAATAGAACGCACTATCTGTTAAATACAGTTTATAATCTTTTTCAGTTAAAATTCTTCTATCTTTTCTATCAGTTACTTTTGGCACGTGGTTAAATTAATTCTGATGACATCATATGTTTACATTCCCTTCAAACCTTATTCAGTAGAGAGTTGTTCAGTGCATCGCAAGTTTTGGTATGAGTTTTGCAGGAAGAGCAATTTTCAAAGAACATGTTGCTGGAAAAGGAGATTTTGAGGCTGAAATTAGGAAACAAAGCTGCAGAGGCCATTAAAAAAATATGCTCCGTACTTGGAGAGACATCAGTGAGTACGGATTGCTCAAAAGTGGTTCACCGATTTTCTCAACCTTCGACAAAGTCCAGCTGGAAGAGGAAATCAAGCAGAATCCTGATCAAACTTGTCAGGCGCTTGCACATAGGTTTGAAGTATCTGATGAAACCATTCAATCACATCTTCATAATCTTGGGATGACATGGAAACTAAGCAAGTGGGTTGGTCATACTGTCCAAGGAAAACAAGATCCAACATTTGAACATGTGCTTGTCTTTGCTGTTGTGCCATATTAAAGCTTTGTTCCTGGACAAATCTTGACATGAGACAAAAAAAAAATGGAACATGTATGATAACCAGAAGAGGAAACAACATTGGTCAACTTTTAGTTTGGGCCCATTGGCTGCTAAACCAGACATTCATTAAAAGAAGGTAATGTTGTTGTGTTTGGCGGACCAGACCTGACATATTCCCCGATGAATATTTAGAAAAGGGAAAAACCATAACAGCCGAGGTTTGCTCATCAAAACTGCAAAAAGTTTCAGCTGCACAGCACCAGAAGCAGCCTCTACTGGTCAACAGAGGAGGAGTTCTCCTCTTCCAAGATAATGTCAGACCTCATATAACAAAAGCGACTAAAGAGGTAATCAAAACACAGTTGGGAAGTTCTGCCTCAGGCACCCTAGTCCCTGGACATCGCTCCACCTGATTATTATCTATTTTTGGCCATGGATAACCATCTGCAGGACAGCAGTTCCGAAAATGCGATGATATCACAAAAGCTGTATCACAATTTTTGGAGCAAAGAAAAAAGGATATTTTAAAATGGTTATTTATAAGCTTCTGTCTCATTTGGAACATGTAACTGAAATATGCCAATAATATTATTTAAAAGAATGAAATGGGTGTTTATGATTTACGTGGGCCGTTTTTGATGAGTAACAAAAACCGCACGAAGTTCCATGGTTATCTAACAGAAAACTTGTGCATAGCTGTATGGGAAAGTTTTGGTATTTCCACCAACACTCCTTGCCTTGGAATTTCTCTTTCTTAGTAAAGCACTGTTGTCTCATGTCAGACACAAAAGTGCAAAGATAAATTTGGTATGGTAAACTAGAAGTTTGAATAACAGTTTCAGTCTTAGGTCAACCTTGTAGCATTTGTTAAAATAAGTTGGATTGTTTGCAAAATTTGAACAGTTTAAAAAAGCAGGACTTGCGTGTTATCACAACCACCCTAATAAATGTTGCCAAATTTCTAGAATCTACTAAACTCAGGCTATCAAATGCATAAACATTCTTCAGACACCTACACTCATAACAATTCTTCAGTCACCCAATGTCAGCATTTTCATATGCATTCATTTTGTTGTATTCCAAGTTCCAATAATTTTTATTTAAAAAAAAAAAATTTTCCCCTTTTTAGCCATAAGGGGCAATTTGCCCAGAAGAGCTATTAATTTCGTTCTGACATTTTGCGTTGATTCACTATAAACGGCAAATCTTTTTTTAAATTGTTGCCACCAAGTATTAGAGCTCTGTATTATATTTAAAGAAATTAAATAATGAAGAATCTGCATAAATATATGTGTGTTTCTCGCATTGTGATAAAACAATGGTTTCTTAGCCATCAAATTTTGAATAATATATATCTTCACCCAAATATGGGCACCTGAAAGCACAAATTTGGAATTTGTTTTATGATGTATTTTTATTTTGTAAAGCATTCATGAGATTTTGATTAAGGAACTCAATGATTTCATGGCAACACTGTACAGAAAAAAAAAAAAAAAAATTCTCACCAGTGTATGAATTTTATGATTTAAGTGTGAAGAACATGATATTTAATAACTTAACTTGGTTTTAAAATGAGCACTTCCAGAATTTGCCTTCTATGGAAGAAACTGTGGTAAAATTTCTGCAGAAATACAGAATTTTGCCACAAAATCTCTAAAGGGGCAGCAAGGATTGATACATAATCAGTGCTGCTGAGATCTGCACAATGCCGAGTCTCAGCAATTGTTTGCTGTTTTTTAAGTGAAAACAGATTGCTGTGTACTTGGGAAGAAGATTTGCACAAAAAAATTACAGAAAGACTTGGAGAATAATGTGTTTTATTTTTCTAGTGTATCAAGTAAGTCTTATTTAATAATTAAAATTTATATTTTAAATTCCTTAAATGTGTTTTCATTTCCTAAGTTGGCAATGTCTGCTGACTCCTAATAAATATCAATACTTTTAGAAATTTTTTTAAAAACAGTGGCAAAAACCCCAAACTTGCACCCAATAAGTAGCTTTTATCTTTTCATCCATAAAAAATTACCAGCTTGCACCTAGGTGATTGCATTATTACATAAATACCAAAAAACGCTTGTGTTTTCAGAGAATCCAGATAACTGGTACTTGTGTTGTATAATTTAACTGAGCTTTTACAACTGGTGAGATAGAATAAATTGAAAGCTGACATCTATTTGCATCTGTTTCTTTGGCAAGTTTAGCTATTATAGTGGCGAGAGCTGCTCACAGAATCAATATAACATCTTAAGTATATAGCAAGTAACTAGTTAAGATTACCTGAACCCTGATAGGTGCTACGGAGCTATCTAGCATATTTGCCAATATATAATAAATAGGAGATTTT